GGGGAAATTCGCCTCGGGTTGTGACCAAATTCGGAGGGTGGAACGGATTAACCGGATTTACGCTGAACCCTATGGGAAAATTTCCTTCGGGTTACGACCAACTCGGGATACGTCCAGAGTCACGGAACGGATTAAGTTCGTATCCCGAGGTACCACTGTATTAAGATTGTGGTTATGATTAAACACTTTAAAATTATAAAAGGCACAGAAATAAAAAACATACATATTGGGCAGAGAGCAGGAGTTCATTACATTGGAGCCATCTTAATATTTCACCAGTCCCCTGGGGTCCTCAAGCTCGATGGCACAACCAGGACTTCAGGAAAGTTAAACGGGATGAGGCCAACCTCACTTTGGGGGAAGAATGTTCCGTACAGCAGGGACCACAGCAGAAAGGGCCTGTCATCTAGGACCGGCCAAGTGGAGCTCCCTAACCGATGGACCTGCAGCATGCCTCTTCTGCCGGATCTGATGGGACGGGCAGATGTAACTGGGGAGAGATCTCAAGGAAGGTCCAAAAGATTTGCTGTACTCAGTGACAGAACCCTCAATACTTTTGAGGAAGAAGGGTTGAGGAATGACACCAGCATCTGGCACCCACTTCCAGCTGTTGGGGACCAGATCTTTTCTGTTTTGGCTCTCCTCCCAGCTGCAGGCTCACGGAGAAGACAAGACATTTCCCTGACCTACTATTGCTTGTTGGGGAAATCAACATGGGATAAGCAGGCCTACCAAATCAAGTGGCTAATCAACTGGGTCCTTTGGACATAGCTTGGCCAAAGGACCTTTCTCAACCAGGCAGAGTGATGTCAAGGAAGGTTTGTCACAGCAGGGACCAAGCCAAGCAAACGGCTTTTGATTCCCGTTCATCGATGGGCTCCAGCAACCCCAAGGGGAGGTCTCAACCACAGGGGTAGGAAAAGATTCCTCATCTGGGAATGGCACTGAACCCGCATGCCCAAAAGTTGAGAAACACTGATCTACCTACCATCCATACAATCAGGAGACAGGCTCTAACCCTCTAACTCTCATAGTTAGCTGAATTATTTGTTGGAATATTTTATTCTGAATTTGCTATTACAAATCTTTACCTGAGCCTCCCAGGAACCTTTGGCTGCATAGTCCCTGAGTTGTCGGAGGCTCTGGAGGTATCTACCAGGATCTGACATCTGTAACAAAGAAATGCAGTCATTGCTAAACGTAGACTCAGCCAACGATGCCTGCAATAATATTTTCCATTATTTGCAGAGCATCTTTGCTTTCGTTCTGCCCTACATCTGAAGGAGATGCACCTTCTCTTGGCCCAAGGCCTGTGCTGGGACACACCACAGGTGGTCCTCAGAGAAGATGCAGGACAAAACTGAGCTTGGATTTAATCTAAATACCGTTCAGTTAATTAAAACAGGATGCTGCTGTGACATCTTTAGCCTATATGTTTTAAAATCCCATCCGCTCTGGCATTTACAGTCTGGCTGATCTTATATTGCTTTTTAGATTGCAGCATTTCACTGTATTATTTTCATGCATACCTACAGGTAGGCCCCAGTTTAAGAACGAGTTCCGTTCCCAAGGTCTGTCCTTAAGTCGAATTTGTACGTAAGTCGGAACACTATTATTGTATAATACTTTATTATTGTGTAATGAACTCCAATCACTGTGTATTTAACTTGGATTTTGCTACAAAAGGCTCCATTCTTAACAATGGGTCATCTGTAACCTGGGCGTTCTTAACCTGGGGACTACCTGTACAACACATTTTAGAGGGGTTTTATAGATCAGCAGGGATCTCTTGCTGATGGCAGCTGACTAGGTCTGGGCTCAGAAGCTAAGCAGGACCAAGACACTGTTAATGTGGACGGGAGACTTCCAGAGAATATCTGAGCTAGAGCCTAGACATGAAAGTCAGAAAACATTCTGTAAAAAGAGGGCAAACCCCTTCTGTGTTATTCCCAAGTAAGCCCCATGGATGCATCCACGAAGTTGTTACAAATCAAGCTTGGCTTGAAGAAGATCAGAATACAAATAATCAACTTGAAGTACAGGGAGTCCCCAGCTTAAGAACAAGTTCCGTTCCCAAGGTCTGTCCTTAAGTCGAATTTGTACGTAAGCCGGAACAGTATGATTGTATCATACTGCATAAGTAGTATTGTGTCATGAACTCGAACCATTGGGTATTTACCTTGAATCACTGTGGATTTAACTCGAATTTTGCTACAATAGGCTGCGTTCCTAACTCTGGGTTATCTGTAACCCAGGGACGACCTGTACCTACAAGCCCACCCACCAGTTCTCCATAGACGGGTGCCTGAAGCCTTCTGCAAGGAGGAACAAAAGTTAAACAAATCCTTAACGGATGTTCCTCCCTTCTCTCCACCATCCCAGGAGAGTCATCTCTTCCCAGAGCCACAAGACATAAACCACCTTGGCCTTTGCAGCCTCTTGTACCCAAGAAGAGGTTCTGAACTCACAGCAGCTTTTTGATTATTTTCCCACAAGAGGTAAGAGCTGTGTAAGCAGCCTTGCTTCGAGGAGTCCTCAAACATCTTGAGAGCAGCGTTCCTTTTCTCTTCATCCTAATAACAGAAAGGGGGAACACTGGGGAAACTGCTTTGGTCTGGGAACACATCAAGCCGTCACAATCCGGTCCTCTTTTAACAGTCTCGGATGCACGATATCCGGCAGTCCTGGATTTTATTTTGACATTTTGATTTATATAGCCACCCAGCTCACGTTACGTGACCCTAGGCGGCTCAGGACAAAAATAGATAAACACAAAAAATAAAAACACAGAGCAGCTGAGCATCATTAAGCAACTATCATCCGCCCAGCCAATCTGATCCTGTAGGGTTGGCACACTCCGGGCTCCGTAGATTAAACAATGTCATCTGTCAGGACCCCGGAAATGTGCTTTCCTTGTAGCAGTGCCTGTCCTCTGGAACAAGGTTCCCCCCGAGATCCCGATGGACCCCACTCTGCTGTTGTTCAGAAGAGCCGTGAAGATCTGGCTCTTCACGCAGGCCTTTGGTGAGGGAAAGGGAGACCCCTCACTTCACTGTGCTTGCCAACTTTTATCTTTATTTTTTGTTTTATTGAATTGGTTGTAATTTCTTTGATTGTTGCGAGCTGCCCAGAGCTGTTGAGTCGGGTGGTTTAACTAATTGTTATTACAAGTAGGTCACGATGAGTGCGAATTTGGATAGGGCAAAATTCGATTTAGTGCAATTTATAAATTGACACCAGGCTGAGTTTAATGCCAGCCCAAATTCAGTTAGTGCGAGGCTAGTGCATGGGGGGTTAAGGCTAGTGTATACACTGTGTAGTTGCTGATGGGGTTCTGACAATTTGGAATTCAGAGAACCCGGAAGGACAAATTCTCGGGGCAGGCAAACGGGGAAGGCAGAAGCACAGCTGGGAGGGCAGAAAGTGCCAGCTTCAATCCCCAGCTTCATCAGACAGAGCTGGAAAAAGCCATGTCTGAGATCCTGCAGTCAATCAGTATGGAGCTAGATACAGGTAGTCCTCGCTTACCAACTGCCTTGTTCAGCGACTGTTTGAAGTTATGACAGCGCTGAAAAAATAACTTGACAACTAATGCCTGCATTTCCAACTTCACAGTGTCTGTCACATGATTGCCATTACAGTCAATACATGTTGTCCTGTGCCTGACCTGTTGTTTTTCTTTCTTTCCCTCCTCGGGGGGCGGAGAGATTGGAGAGGAAGGGATTACAAGAGAGTAAGCAGGCACACAATGGGGAATGTGATGGCTCCAGCAGCTGCGAACACACTATGCAAACAGCCTGGTGCATTCCCCATTGTGTGCCTGCTTACTCTCTTGTAATCCCTTCCTCTCCAATGAATGTAAATACAAACATCAATTCCCTTCTTGTTAATTATCCCAGCGCCAGAGTGAGTACTCCAAAGGGCGGGGAAATGGTTAAGAGGCAAATAAAAGCCGAAGATGTGAAACTGATTATAGTAGTCTTCTTAGTTTCGAACTGGGTATCCCAG